TCACTTGTTTCATAGAAAGACGTTCCTTGACTCACTGTCTCCTGCTTATGCAGATATATGCAGCCATACTTTATAACAAACTATATACCCTCGGATTATATGTACAGAAGAACAATTGCGGTCTCTGTATTACATAGACATAGCGCATAAGGGGTGTGTGTGTGTGTGTGTGTGTGTGTGTGTGCACACATGTGCATGTAAGGAAAGAATACAGCAGACTTTTGCTCCCTTACCTCATCCCCATTTTCTGCTATACAGTTTAATGTTGAGTGTGCCAAAAGAGACAGTCGTTACTTTTTTTTCTAGATAGATGTATTAGTTTTCTATTGCCCTGTTACAAATTACTCCAAAATGTATTGGCTTAAAACAACAATTAAAAAAAAAATCTTATGGTTTTAGTGTGTCAGGAATCTAACCTGAGCATGGCTTAGCTGAATGCCTCTGGCTCAAGAACTTTCATGAGACTGTAGTCAAGCTGTTTGGTAGAATGTAGCTAAGGTTTCATCAGAGGACTTGAAGGGGAAGGGAGGGGTCCACTTCCAAGTTTTCTCACTTGGTCATTGTCAGTCCTTTGTACCTTACAATATGGGTCTCTTCACAAGACTGCCTCCTGACATGGCAACTGACTACCCTCAGAGAGACAGATTTGAGGGAGAGGAAGAGGAAGAGTGTACAAGAGACAGAGAGAAAGACAGAGAGAGAGAGAGAGAGAGAGAGAGAGAGAGAGAGAGAGACAGAGAGAGAGTCCATTAGTTACTTTGCCATGTTCTAAGTGTTAGAGGTAAATCAATAGATCCAGTCCTTACTCAAGGAGAAGGCATTGCACAACAATCCAAATGCCAAAAAGTAAGGATCACTGGGAGTCATTTTAGAGGCTACCTATCTCAGGCCTCTAGTATCTAACAATTTATGTTCCTCCCACATGCAAAATACATTCACCTCCTCCCAACATCTTGAAAAGTGTCAACTCAGGGTCTAACATATCATCATCTAAACCAGGTTGTGGCGTAGAGAAGGCTCCTGGGATGTAGTATCTTAAGTACTGCTCTTTGAATATAGTTACTCCTGGTCTGTAGACCTGAGGAACTAAAGAGACAACTTACCTCACTTCCCTGTGCCCAGCAAACAATGGTGGCACAGGCATAGGATCATTGCAATAGGTGTTCCCATTCCAAACGGGAGAAAACGGGAGGCACAAAGGAATTACTGGTCCATAGCAGTTCTGAAACTCAGCCAGGCAAATACTGGATGTACTTTAACTCAGTTTCATGGACTGGGAGACTTTTCTGTGGCTGTTGGCTCTGCCCCTGGAGCCTTTGTTCTGAGTCATTTCTTTTCCATTTAAGGTAACGTATGTTTACAGCTGAGAAACTCTTTCAACCTGCTTCTGGCCAGTAGAATTCTGGGAACCTAAAGGCCTCTTTTCATTTCCAACTATTTCTGTGCCCTTTTGTCTCTCACTGTCTCTATCTTTTAAGAAGTCTATGGTTCCTTTGTTCATCTTGTTCAGGTGTGTTCCAGTAAACAAAAGGACCCATCCACAAATCTGTTTGTGGTGAGTTCAGCCCTGTTGTTTGATTGAGACAATCTGAGGCACACATACTCTTAATTTTTGTAAAGTGCTTTTGTCTGAATAAATGGTACTCTGAGACATACTTTTAATCTTTCTGTGGACTTAACAAGATACTTTACAGTTGTATTATCAGCCTCATCTTTGTAGCATGTCTGGATTTTGTCTTTTCTCAGAAGAAGCCATTTCTTAATTTTAAAGCCATCACTTGCCATTGGGAAGGGCTGTGACTTTTCAAAATCATCAAGCCTTAGTTCCTTAGTAAAAGGGTAAGAATCCTCTTCTCAATTTATCTCTGTCACATTTTGCCATAAGCATCGAAGTGAAATAAATGGCAACTTCAATGATTTTCTTAAATATATTTGCTGCATTACCAGCTGATTAACCATGTTATCCTCTCCCTATATAAATGCAGGCAACAGTGTTGCTATACTCTCTGCCCCTTCATAACAAACATTTTTCTTATTTCAGTTTCCAATGAGATTTTCTTCAGTCTTTTTTAAGGCTTCAACTGTAGTATCTCCAAAGATTAATAGTTTCTTCCAAGTTCTTTCATTAACACTCTCCATAAAGTCCACTGCCTGTTTCCAAAGCCATTCCTACATTTTAGGGTTCTTGGTTTTTTAAACGGAAGAACAACTATTAATATTAATAGTTGTAATATTAAGGATTGAATGGACCTAAAGAGAAATATTGCTGTGGCTATCCTTAATTAAAGTACTCAGCAAAACCGTAACTTTTCTGGAAGTCATTAAGGCTAAGATAAAATTTCTAAGTACCTAGGAATGTTTAATCTTGTACTTTTTGAGGGAAGAGACATAAACGTGCTGTCCTCTTGTTTCCTTATGGAGACAGACTCGAGGAATCTGAAATAGCAGCTCATTGTTCTTTTTAGATGTTGGGATTTGGCAGGTTTTTCTGAGAATAATTTGACTGTGGGTAGTGATTAAGGTACATCATATCTATTTAAGGTTTTAGCCATGTTAGACATTTAGACTGAGGGTGGCATACTACCTTAGGACTTTCCCAAGGCTCCAGATTAAAGGATAGAATAAAACCAGGAACTTTCTATATTCAACAGACAATCGTATGCTTCTTATATTATCCATTGCCTTATGTTTTCTCTTTTTTTTTGGTTTTACATACATCCCACACATTTGTGTATATGTATTTCTGTGTGAGTTGTGTTAGGGGCGGCTCTGGTAGTCAGAAATATACATTAGTAATAGTGAAGAAATAAATAATTTTGCTTGAGAAGCTACCTAGGCTTTCTGATTGTCAGTAGTAACCTTCCTATCTTTTCTTCAAAAAAATTTATGCCTAAGCTCCTCCTACATCAATATATACCAATATATACATAGCTATTTCTATCCAATAGTGTAAATGTTAGTTTTCTAGGCATTTCTTTAAGGATGTGGTGGCTCATGCCTGTAACCTCAGCCCTTTGGGAGGCTGAGGCGAGTAGATCTCCTGAGATCAGGAGTTTGAGACCAGCCCAGCCAACAAGATGAAACCCCATTTCTATATAAAAAAATATGAAAATAGCCTGGTGTCGTGGCACGTGCTTGTAATCGCAGCTACTAAGGAGGCTGAGGCAGGAGAATTGCTTAAACCCAGGAGGCAGAGGTTGCAGTAAGCCGAGAACGAGCCATTGTACTCCAGCCTGGGCGACAGAGTGAGACTCCATCTCAAAACAAACAAACAAAATAATACAGTGCTACTGGGGGATATGATAAAAATCACAACTATTTGCCCCACTAGTAATTTAGGCAGTACATCTTTAACTGGTTTGTTGCTGTTGCTCAGAAACTTCTCCTAAAATAAACCTCATTTGGTTTCAACTCATTATACAATGTCTTTCTCCCAGCCACAATTTCAACCTTTATTCTTTCAATAAATATGTATTAAACACCTACTATGTGCTAGATATAAATACTAACCAAGAGAGTTATAATCACTGCTCTTAGAGAGATTAATGTATACCAAAAATGTAAAAATAAAAATAAAAGAATAAGGTTGGAAAATGTGATAAATATTTTGACAGATAAGGAATATGTGTGGTAGGCAAGGATAATGAGAAATGTCCTGCTTGCAGGTTGGTTAATCAGGAAAGATTTCAGTGAGGAGAAAAGGATGAGGCAAAGAAATGCTGAGCCAAGCGTGTGGCTGGTGTGCAAACAGATGCAGGGGTGGGACGGCTGGTTGCATTTTGCTAACTCTAAGCAATTTATTGTGTCTGGAATGTTCAGTCTAACTATGGGAGTGGTGAGAGTTCACACTAGAAATGATTGACAGAGCATGATCATGCAGTCATTATACATTATGTGGAGGAGCTCTCTTTAAGAAAAAAAATAGAAATTTAAAAATACGATATTAGGTGAGTATTTGTTTAGAATGAGAGAACACAACAAATTACAAGTATTAAATTGCTGAGACAAATCAGAAAATCCAGAAAATAAACAAATTGTATGGCTTTATTGCCAGCACATGTCTGTAAAAGATTTTCCCATTTGCAGACGCCAAACCCTTTCATTCACCTCTTTACAGGCCACTGATTTTGTTCTGTCACTTCCCATTGGCAGAATAAAAAGATAATGTAGTTTTTCCTCCATCATGGTTAATAATAGCAATGTTATTATTAAGTTTATTTTTATTTCTTTATTTGTTTATGTTTTTTAGAGACAGGGTCTTCCTATGTTATCCAGGCTGGAGTGTAGTGATACAATCATGGCTCACTGCAGCCTCAAATTCCTGGGCTCAAGCAATCTACCTGCTTCAGCTTCCCAAATACCTGAGAATATAGGCACATGTCACCATGCCTGGCTATTTTTTCTTATTTTTTATAGAGATGACATCTTGCTATGTTGCCCAGGCTAGCCTTGAACCCTGGCCTTAAGCTGTCCTCCCACCTCGGCCTCCTAAAGTGCTGGGATTAGAGTTATGAGCCAAGATGCCAATTATTAATAGATTAGAATAATGTTTTCTTCTTCACAATTTTTTTGGTTGTGTTATACAGGTTTTCCAGTTTGTCTGCCAAATTTGAGAAAACCACTAAAGGATTGTTTTACATATTATGAATCATGAGACTTGGACTTGGCATATCAAGGTGTCTTACCTTGGCAAATTTGACAAAAACACATGGCCACAGAAACATACTAAGAGGACTCTCCACGTCTCAGAGGGGCTGATGCAAGCAAGGGATCAGGAAACTCAAGTCTTACTAGTATTAGAGTACTGCTGCTCAGCAACCAAAGCAAAAATGGACCGAGGAGATGCTTCTTACATATAGGAATCTCAGTGGGGCCATGGGCTAAGGGTGTGTTACTAAGAACGAAGAAGAAATGCATATTTGATTTTCATATATCCCCTTTAAGGAGGAATATAATTGATAGGATTTGGGTAATTGACTTTTCACAGGAGTTATGCAAGGTGGAGAGGGAACAACCAAGGGAGACTGGCAACTTTCTGCCTTGAGTTACTGGAGGAGCTGATGTCATCGAGGCTTGAAACATGACTAGAAGATAAGATTTGTGAGTATAATTAAACTTGAGGGTCTGTGTGGTAATTTTGTCAGCAGTGTGGGTCTGGAGAACAACCTGGGTGGTGATGGTGAAACTGTTGGGGTTGGGAAATGAATGGTGCCGGCAATCAGTGGAATGTTGGAGCTGGAGTCAGAGATTTGCCCCTTTGCTGCTGCCAAAGAAGCCCTATAATTACTGAAAGCCAGACTAATGGCCCTAGAAGTCTCATAGAGGCTTGGCTTGAAGTAAGCCCTACCTCTCCGAATGTACTGGCTAGAGTATCTCATTCACTGTTTCCACTGCTGCCACCACCACACCCTCTTGTTAAACTTGATTTAATATGTCTCATGACAAAAAAGCCCCGAGTCCAAAGTTCATAGGCTTTTAGTGGAACAACTGTCTCAGTTTACAATCAGGTAGCAAATCAGTGCATTTTTTTTTCACTTCTCTAAGTTCTAGCTGATTCTTTTTATCATCCTCTTTGTTTATTGTAACCGGTCTTTTTTTCCTTACTCATACTCTCTTATTCTGTCTTATTCTAAGATCACTTTAAACATTCTTACTTATGTTTTGTGTCTAATAAAAACAATCTCTGACGTCTTTTCTGTTCTACTCTTCTCTATTATATTGGCTTATTCTTACTCATGGTGTCTTTTTTGTTATATGCTTTGTTGTTGTTTTCTAATTTAGTTTAATTTTCATTTTGACCTTGTATTCATTGAAAATTTCTCAGTAAGACAGTAAGAATTCTTTGAGGTCTGCAGTAGGAACAAATTCTCTGAAAAAGATTATGTTTGATCCTGCCTGTAGGCACTGTGAATTCCTGGAATTACTTAAGACTGACTTCTCAATCGACTAGTTACTTTGCTTGTTTTTAGAATATGTTTTTAGATTTCCAGTCAATGTAAACGCCAGCGCACAGTTGCAAATTATGAAGGGAAGCTTTTCTCTTTAACCAAAGACAAGGTAGTGGTAGGAAATCGTCTTTGTTGTTTTTCTTCATAATGTAGATTTCAGTATTTTGCTTCCGATTCTCTATTTTGCAGAGGATTTTCCAGATGCAGGAAGTTTTGTATTCGACTCTTCACTTATCAGGTATATAAAGGAAGTTTTGTTGGGAAGGTGACACATTCCTAGACTTAGACTTCTTTCTCTTGACAGTTGCTAAAAGTGAAGATTTGGGTAGCAGAATAATACAGATGCCCTTAGGGTAGTCATCAACTTCAGAGCTCACTTTCCTGGATTCATGAATTGGCTTTGTAATTGGCCTCTAAGGATTTTCCTCATTCTCTCACCAGCTCAGCCACACATGTAAAATGATCATTTTTAGATATTTTATTCCTGGTGGGTTAGATTATTATTGCTGGACCTGGAAGTCAACCATGATTTTTTTTTTTTATATATGTTTCCCAGCCCTGCACAGCATTTCTAATTGCTTTCTTTTTTCTTGTTGACAAGAGCATGGTGTGTCTTTTATCATACACTCCAATTATCCAGCTTATCTTTCATACCTATATGGAATCTACTTCCTTCACAACCATTTCTTGGAGATCTTTCTTGTTTCAACTTTTATTTTAGGTTCGGGGATACATATGCAGGTTTGTTACGTGGTTAACTTGCATGTCATGTGGGTTTGTTGTATAGATTGTTTTGTCATGGATAAAAGCAAAACTGTAGCTGAATTAAATTGAATGGAGTTTAATTGAGCAATGAACGATTCAAAAATCGAGCAGCCCCCAGAATCACAGCAGATTCACGGAGACTCCAGCACAGCCACGTGGTTGAAGATTTGTAGACCAAAAAAGGGAAATGGCACACAGAAATTGGCAGCAAGGTACAGAAACAGCTGGATTGGTTACAGGTTGGCATTTGCCTTGTTTGAACACAGTTGGAACCCTTAGCAGTCTATGAGTGGTTGAAATATGGCCACTGGGATTGGCCAAGACTCAGTTATTGTTACAGGCACATACTCCTAAGTTAGGTTTTCAATGTTGTCTGACTATTAAGGTAGGTTACAGTTCATCCACAAGGACTCAAATATAGAAGTACGAAGTCCTTCACCGGCCATATTTAGTTTGCTTTAACATCGTCCAGGTAATAAGCACAGTACCTGATAGGTAGTTTTTCCATCCTTTCCATCCTCCCACCCTACGCCCTCAAGGAGGCCTCTTGTTCCCTTTTTTGTATCCATGCATACTCAATGTTTATTTCCCAGTTGTAAGTGAGAACATGCGATATTTTGTTTTCTATTTCTGTGTTAATTGGTTAAAATAATGGCCTCCAGCTGCATCCATTTTGCTGCAAAAGACATGATTTCATTCTTTTTTTATGGCTGTGTAATATTCCGTGCTATATATGTGTATACCACATTTTCTTTATCCAGTCCACCATAGATGGGTACTTTGGTTGATTCCATGTCTTTGCTATTGTCAGTAGGACTGCAATGAATATACACATGCATGTGTCCTTATGATCGAACAATTTATATTCCATTGGGTATATACCTAGTAAGGAAATTGCTGGGCTGAATGGTGGTTCTGCTTTATTTGAGAAATCTCCAAACTACTTTCCACAGGGGCTGAACTAATTTACATTCCCATTAGCAGAGTATAAGCCTTCTCTTTTCTCTGCAATTTGTTATTTTTTTGACTTTTTAGTAATAGCCATTCTGACTGGTGTGAGATGGTATCTCCATGTGGTTTTGATTTGTATTTCTCTAATTATTAATGATGTTGAGCATTTCTTCATATGCTTTTTGGCTACATGTATGTCTTCTTTTGAGAAGTCATTTCTTGGAGACCTTGAACCTTCTACTCTGCCATGAACCAGTTTCCAACCACCATCCTGAGATCTCTTTTTTCTTGCTAGGGTGAACCTATTTCCTGAATCCCATGGTTTCCAATATTTTTAATGTTTTGGCATTTTCCTTCTCATTTCATTAAACAACTTCCCAGTTATTGGACATTTTAAAGTCCATTTACATCTAAACATGTCTTTATTTTGCTCTCAAACTTGATGAATGTTTTTGTATGAAATATAGGTTTAAAATAAATGACCTGAGCTTTCACTTTTACTTCCAGCATCTGAAGAGCTTGGAAGTCATCACTCTTGTCCTCACAACAAGAAGAAAGCTGAACATGTTAATAATCAATAACTTTTCTTGGGCTGAATTAGAGAATTGAAGCTCCAGGGTAAACCACCTCATAAAATCTGGAAAGACTAGAAAGTTCAGAGTCACAGCCAAGATATTTCTAAGAATAACAGTCACTAAAACCTTAAATTGGTAGGAACACATAAGTAGTAATTTTTATAAATTGCTGGAGGCTGAGTGTGAACTAACATGAAAGTGAATATCTCCTAAGGCTGCACATTCATAGGTTTTACTTCTAGGAACCCTACCAGGTTCTTACAGTGAAGAACTAGGAAAGGTCTCCTGGTTATTCTGGCAGGGGGAGGGAAAAAGTAATATTTTGGAAATTCCCAGAGTATTCTCTATAACAAAGGACTACCCTCTAAGAGGAATTACTTTATCAGAGCTTATGATAGCCAAAGGTAAGGAAACTTACTCACCTCCAGTCCTCTCTATCCTTCCTGCCTCACATAAGGGGAAAGAAGGAATGCTAAGAAACATTTGTGAAAGTCACAGCCCAAGAGCACAGTTTCACTGAAATATTTAATTATAAGATTTTAGAATGCTTTCACTACCCTACACCTTTCCACCATATCAACAGGACTCCAGTATGAAAACTGTATATTAGAGTTGTAAGAGCAGTAAGGTGCAGACTGTATTTAAGAAGGAGTTCTTAGGGAAGCCCAGAAACAATAGGGAAGACAAAAACAGGGACCCTTGAAGAATTTGAAGCTTCTGCCACCATCTACAGCTAACATTAAGTAGCCCAGCACCTGGCCAGATTAACATAAAACCTCACATTAAAAGTGCTTTTACCTTAATTCATACAACCAATACATAATGCCCAGCTTTCATTAAAACATTATGAGGCAAAAAATAACACAGACTAAAGACAGAAGGCAAGCATCAGGACCAGATACTCATATGACACATATATTGGAATTATCAGACTGGGAATTTAAAATAAATGGGGTAGGGGCTCAAATTAAAAAATGACAAACTTCAAGAATAGATGAATAAAATCAGCAAAGAGATAAAAACCCTAAGAATCAAATTAAAACGTTAGAAACCAAAACACAGTAACAGAGACATGGAGAATACCTTTGGTGGTCTTATGAGTAGACTGAAGGTGGCTAAGGAAAGAATCAGTGAGCTTGAGTATATGTCAATAACAGCTTTCTAAACTAAAATGTAAAGAGAGAAGAACTTTTAAAATGCAGAAAAAAATATCTGAGAAGTATGGGACAATTTCAAAGGTATAAAATATACACAATTGCAACACTAGAAGAAAGAGATAACAGAGCAGAAAAATATTTGAAATAATATTGGCTGAAAATTTTCCAAAAGTAATGACAAACACAAAACCACAGATCCTGGAAGTTCAGATAATGCCAAGATAAATACCAAAATACTATACCTACCTAGGCACATCATATTTAAACTGAAAAAAAAAAATGTAAGACAGAAAATCTTGAAAAAAGTAGGGTTGAGGTATGGGAATTTACAACAGAGGATAAGTTATACAAGCAAGAGGAGAATGGAGTGAAATATGTAAAATGCTGGGGAAAGTACAAAACACACCAGCCTATAATTCCATACACACACAAATTTCTTTAAAAAATTTTTTTAATATAGAGTCTCAGTCTGTCGCCCAGGTTGGAGTGCAGTGGCACAATCTCAGCTCACTGCAACCTCCACCTCTTGGATTCAAGCAATTCTCCTGCCTCAGCCTCCCAAGTAGCTGAGACTATAGGCACACGCCACCATGCTCAGATAATTTTTGTATTTTTAGTAGATAGGGGGTTTCACTGTGTTAGCCTGGATGGTGTTGATCTGTTGACTTCATGATTCACCTGCCTCGGCCTCCCCAGGTGCTAGG